TTCCTTCTTTTTTTTTTTTTTTTTTGAATTTCCTTACTGCTCCACCTCTCCTCCTCCTCTCAGCTTGTGTTTTCGAATATCGCGCTGTTGGTGTCATCTTCTTGCTGCTCCTCCCCTTCGTCTAATGCAGCGATTCAACCAATCCACGCAGATGCAGAGACGTCTTCAGTTTCGACATGCAAGCTAAAACCATTATTTTTTTGAGTAGGGTTTTCATCATGGGGATGATAGTATCTTGGGGGTAGGTAGATCCTGGGGCCTTACCTTACAACATGCCCATTTGGGCGCAGGTGATTGTGATGTGTCTCTCCGGCAGCTGCGTGGAAGGCGGATAGGTCTGGATCAGGCCAGCATTCACTACATGCCTTCTGGGCAAGGCTTGCGCAAACAGGGTGTAGAGTCATCGAGTCGTTTCGGCATCTACACAAAGTAACGCGGCTTCAACGTGGGGGCGCAAGGTGCTCAGGAAATTGAATTGAGAAGGATAGGATGGGCCATTCTGCTGCTCCCTGCTCAGACTGACTCTGACATGGATATGGGTGTGCGTGAGTCTTCTCATGACAATTCAAACCACTTGGCCACGCACCTGGCCAGTAACCGATGTCGTCTTCCAGTTGCTTTCAAGGAATTTGAATTGGGTTACCATAATATGTATGTATAGTAATCCGTACGGTTCCCTTATTCTTAGTAGCTTCGTTTGAGCTCTTTGGCAGCGGCCCGACAAGCTTGACAGGATAGTGATGACTATGACGAAGATGCCGAAGCAGAAGAGGAGGTTGGAGCTTAAGAAACCCTTTCCCCCCCTCTGGCAGCACACCTTTGCCACAAGGACATTGAGTCGATGAATGAGGAACATGTAGGGTAAGGCTACTGGGTGGTGAGTAGAAGTGGAAAGGCGTAGTTGCTGCCCATATCACATGGCAAGATCGTTCCGAAGGTCTCTGGCCCTCTGTCTCAATTACCATGGAAGGGTTGTGGGGTGACTATCGTCAGGTCGCTTGCAAGGGCCCCTGTAGGTGGAGTCCGCATCTTGTCTGGGGAATAATCAGAAAACAGATTCCTCATTCGGCCGAAGCAAATTGGCATGCAAGCTACTCTTAATGGATTGCACCGTGCACTTCTTTCCGTGAGCCAGGCCAAGGAGTTTTGATGGGGGTTCTTAGGGGGAAGGGTATACTTCCTACAGGCTCCTAGCACACGGCTGGAGGAGCCTCTCTGAACGAACGGAGCCTGGGCCGAACCCAAACCGAAAATGAGTCAAGCTTCTCAAAAGCACCTCGAGCCTACCCGCCCTATCACTGGAGAGCAAGCCCTTAAATCCCAAACCCGCGCCGAACAAGATGAAGAAGAACAACTATAACAGCAACGTGCAAAACCGACTGACGTGACGGCAGCAGCCCTTTCCTCCCCACACAAACCGGCTCCGATCCAGTTCGTTGCTTGGCTTGTTCTGTTTTTGTGGTGAATGATTGCACCATACTACCCAGAAAGGCTGGGTGGCTGTTACCATAATATGGGTATATAGTAAAAAAAAGATCTGCCGTACTATAGTGATTTAATCTACGTTCCGTACTCTAACAGCAGCTCAGAAAGAGCATTACATCGAAGCCTCGAGGAGCCTGAGCCCCAGCCCTTAAGCCCTAGGATCCAAAAGCCAAAAATTCTTCAAATAATCCCTAAGTTCGAAAATTCCCAAGTCCCTAGTCCAAACAATGCCGACTAATTGAGCTTCATTTAAATCTTGATTACCCGACCTAAGCCCGGCACGCCTTAATTCCCAAAAGTGTTGTGACACAGGCGGCCCCCTCTTGCGCCAATTTCGGCTGCGACCAGTTTGTGAAGGGGCAGGCCTGCCAGTGCCTTTGGCGGCATTTTCTGCTAGACTGTTTTGGCGTTACAGAAAGTATGGGTTTGGTGTTTGGGGTTTGTATTTTCATACCTGATATATGTATATATACACTTGAGAGTACATTTGGTTTTTAATGGGTTGTCCAATTCCTGGCTCAGAATCTCAAAATAGGCTGAAGCACAACCTTAAAGCATTCAAGTGGCTTGCAGTTTAAGGTTTAGGGTTCTACTTAAGGGTTCTATCAAGGTTTTGCCTAGTAGGGAGCTTGGAGACACTGCTCAAACCTCCGGCTGAAGCAATTTCGGTCAGAGTGGTTAAAGGACAAAGGCGGCAGAAGCACCTTTTTCCTCCTTGATATTGATATTGAGTTAATAGCGCCCTAATTTACCTTAGGAGGACCCCCCACCCTATAATGGTGACTATAAGGGATAATAGGGATTATATTAGGGTCCTATTATATCTCTATTATACCACTATTACAGGGAGAGGGTCCTCCTAAAATCTACCTACAATAGTCCCTTGTGGTATCCATTACTGGGTGGGGGATTGGCCTAGAAACCCGAAGCTCGACCTGTATATGGCAGACCTGAAGTTGCCAACATCCGGCAACACCGGCAAACTGGCGACGGAAACCCGAGATGCCGTGGGGCCAATGTGTGTCGTGAGCTAACCACCTTACGTTCAAGATCATATTACATAGGGGATATATATCATGGTATATTATACTATATCATGGTATATCATGTATATAGTAAATTTTAGCATCATGATTGGGTACTGCCATCGTTGATCGCCCGGAAGGTACTAGGGGGTCGCTTATCGCCAGCTAGCCAAGGTGCACCCCACAGTGCAGCCACTTCGGCAACTGCTGCCAGCTACTGAGGATGAGCTTGTGGATTCAGCATGGCAGCAGCTAGTACTAACTATCACTACAGTAGAACTACTATTACTATTACTATTATTATAATTACTATTACTATTATTATTACTACAAGTATTACTATTACTATTATTATTACTATTACTATCACTATTGCAGTAGAACTACTGGCCTTGGCAGCCTTAGCACTGGTGGTAATGGAGCTCATGCAATGGGAATTCAGCCATGTGGGCACATGCAGAGGCGACTTTCAGATCCAATTTAGGCAGACGCCTGTCAGAGCTCTCATCACCCTTTTCACAGACCCTTCGCATAAAAGCCATGCAAATCCATCCGCCCCCAATGCAAACCTTCAACAGGGTAACCATAATTTCGAAGCAACTTCCCTTACTCCCCTCCACCCATGGGGGATGGTTGCCTCCAGGTTCAGATTTCAAGGCAACTTGCGAGGCGCGGCAAGCAAAGGCGGCCCAACAGCTTTTGGTTTCCGTGGGGGGTATGCTATGTTGTTTTAGGGGCTATACAGGGATAATAGAAATGACATGGAAACTACTGCATTGTTATAGGGGTTACATAATGGAAAAGAAAATTGAAACTACTACATTTTGGTTTGCGGCATATAGGGGGAACGGCACACTCGCCTCGTTGAATACATGTTGCGCTATACTTGGGTCTCAGCCCATTGAATAAGTTGGATCCAACCCTGCTACCGCATGTTTAAATGCCCTTGTAAACTTCGAGAGAGGATGTAAGGAGTCTCGCAAGATTGTGGGTGTTTGTTTTGGGGGTTCTCAGCCCCGGGATACTCAAGCTTGGGTATTCCAAGGCGCGCCAAGACATTCCTGCTCGAAAGTTTTCTGAAGCAGACTTTTTGACTCAGGCTTGTTTCCGCGCATGTCAAGATCTAAGAGAAGGTGTTGTTCCAAGGTGTTGTCCCAGGATGTTTCGGGGTCAGCACTTGTGAAGTAGGAACTGCAGTGGAACCTGTGGTAGTGAGGCGGCCCGCGAGCAACCGGTCCACATGGGGCCCTTTTGGATTGGAGCCTCATTCTGTCACAATCCGAATCAGACGTGTTGCTTAGACCGCTCGAGTTGTGATATGTTTTTGGGCTGGAAGACCAACAACTTCCTGTGTTCCTTCAGACAGGTGATTGACAGGTACATAGTCCCCCTTAAGTAGATAGAATATGGCTTTGGGCATATTATAATAAGATCCCCATATACCCCATATACTATCTACTTAAGGCTTAAGGGGGAGTAGAGATGCAGCAGAGCCTATCGAGGCTGTTCAGTCGTTACTCCGCCTCCTGTTACCTTCCCAAGAAAACCCTCACATGGGGGTTTCCCAAAATTAGGGGTACCTTTTTGGGGTTCCTTATAATAAGGACTATAGTATTCTGGGGTCCATATTGGGGTCCCCTTATTTTGGAAAACTACGACATTTTGACTGAGCGGAGATTCCCCACAGCCACAAATGATTTTATGTGTCAGGGCTGGGGAGGGTAAACAAACTCTTGCCCTTACCTCCCTCCCCATTGCAAACTTTTCGTTATCAGGTCAAGTCGCCAACGTGCGCAACTTTCGGTTGTGGCACCAAGCATCTCTGGCCTTTTCAGATAGCTTGCTTTACAGTAGGACATTTATGGCAGGTTCAAATGCAGTGTGCTTTGTCACTTTTGCAAGGGATACCCATGTTGGGTTTGGGGGCATCTGCCTTTTTGGAAGCTTGCAAATCTTTTTCGCTTGCTGGTGGCTCACCATGGCCCGTAGACTCATAACGCGCCGAAATCACGGTCCCTATACCTTGCACTTAGAACTCTTCTTATTTTGTTTCTGGGTATCTGGGGACCGAAATCTTTTGTTTCATACCCAGATGATGAACAGCATAATGCCTGCTACACTTTGTGTGCTGCAAAGGTACATCCACCACCATCCCTGCCAGCATCTTGACTGCAAGAGGAGCTACGGACAAAATTCGAGTCTTCAGTTGTTACTTTTCCAGATATTTCTACATAACCCTCTATCCCCCGAATGTTCGTAAACCTCCCAAAAAAGGAACCCTTTGCCTGTACGCTTCCTAAGTTGCAGTGCTTGCAGCAAGCCGCAGGTGCACGCCAAAGTGCGAGAAGTTCGGCAACTGCTGCCAGGGGCCCAGCAGTTTGCCTTGCTGTTCTCCACCTATTGGGGTAATGTTGCGGTTATATTGGGGTTATATTAGGTTTATATTGGTAGGGAAAGGCCGCGAGTCATGAACAGGTAATATCTTACCGTTTCCTATAAAACATCTCGGTTTCACTGTTTGGTAAGATGCCCGCCTGGGCTCTTATCAGAAAGATTGTAAGCTTCTCATATGAGAGTCCTTCAGTTTTGGCTTCATGTCAAAGTTGCCGCAGCCCATAATTTTGAGAGCGCCCCAGTAAGGCAGCTTGGAGTTCATATTACATTGCCCCCAGAAGCCTAAAACCCATACTGAAAAGGAGTTCCAAAATGTTTAGCAGACCTACAAAACCTCCCCATGTTGCTGACTTCCAGGCTCAGACTTCAAAGCCGTCTGCATTCTCAAGAAGGCGTCCGACCCCTTGGCTACTCCTTACCCGTTTCAGACTTGAGCTACTCCTGATGCCGCATGGCTGGGAGGTAGGCAGATGCTTGAAAGTAGGTGCGAAACAGGACAACTACGGTTCTGAGCTAATTTGGGTTGTGCACAGGTTTTAACCCCCAGGCATGGTTTGCCATTGACATGCAATCGCAGCACGTCCAAAGCGCTCTTTTTGCCCGCAGAGGTGTATACAGTAGGAGCTTTGGCTGTTGGGCATCACGCCCTGCCAGAGGAGAGGGGCAGGATCCTAAGGACACACTTGGGGTCCTCGGTAGCAATGTTATGCTTAGGCCTTATTGCGGCATCCTTCACTTGCCAGGAAGTGCAGTTGCACAGCCCCAATAGGATGCTGGTAGCACCAGCCTCCAAAAGTAGAACGGTGTATCTAAAGGGTCCTGGTTTGGGGGATTGAGGTCACTGGCCAAAATCCTCCCTAAACCCTAAACCTTCTCCTGCGTCCGAACTGGGGTACACCTTTTCGTAGTGTATACTCAACACTTCACGCGGCCTAGCAACTACTTAGAACTTGGCTCGTAACATCTCGTAACCATACTTATAACGCTTTTTTAGGGTTTAGGGTCTATGGTTTGGGATCGTACATCCCATCAGGGACGTATATTCCCATGGGGCCTTTCAACCGATTTGGTATAAACCGGAGGAGGCGCTGGGCAGCGGCCAGAAGCACAAGAGACCCTGTAACCTCTCTCTGAATGCTGGGCCAGGAGACAGCCGAAAGCAAGAAAGAGCCGGCAAAGGAGCGAGCTACTGCCAATGTCACCGAGTCGAGGTCCCAGCATGCTCTGATTGAGAATCAAACGGGCATGGATATGGGAAGTCGCATGGAAACTGGGTTGATATAGGGGCTTCAGAAGGATTAAGAGACAACTTTGCTGAGCTGCTTCATGGGATGATTAACGCCTGTAAAGCAGTGTACAGCAGATCTTCTTTGATTTCTCGTCTTCTCTTCAGCTTCCTGGATAACATCATGGCAACATACATTGCGTGACCCTATCATTCTGAATTCTTCAGCCCTAAGCTCGACGTTTGCCCAATCTTCGTTTGCTTTCTGGAATCCTAGGCCTGAGTCGAAGGGAGAGGCACCTGCGAGCGCGAAGGCTGCTGGGTCAGCTGAAGATTTAGGGCTTCAACTGAATTTCAGGGAACTTCATTGTCTGTGCGCATGCACGCAAGAGCTCTCATCCCCTCATTCGCAAGACTCCCAGACAAAAGCCTATCGAAATCATGTATCCATGGGGATCCATGTCTGTCTTGAATAACTCCGTCTTGGATTCGTTCTTATTATCGTCCTTATCCTCGGAACCCCTGCTCAGCTGTCTTTCGCAGTCCACAAGACCATGCAACTACATATCCCTCTGATCCCCTACATAACTCCTATATAATCCCCATATCACCCGCATAAAGCCCTGATAACCCACTGGGAATGGTACACCGGAACTGGGCTGGGGGTCATAGAGCCCTGAGCCCTAAACTGTGGTGCTACAGCTGGGCTTGTTATGGTCGTTTGGTGTTTAGCGTGAAGGAGTCCCTGGGATTGTTGCTGACGCATCTCGGTGTAATTTCGCATGTTGTTTACTTACAGTCAAAGCAAGAATCTCCTGAACTTCATCTTGAAAGCTCTAAGGTCTCCTCTCACCATCTCAGGCTACTACCTGTCATGATTCCCCAGGTCCATGCTGAATTGTTGGTTCGCTTCATCTTCTTCTATAACAACAGCAACTAGAACTACTGTACAGCTACGGCATGCTACGGCACTTCAACACGTTTTTGTTGAGCATCTACCTCCACCTAGGGCCAAATCCCCAAATAACAATTGCCATGTGCTTTTCTTCCGTTCCTGCTTGGCCATCTTGTGCAAAGGCTCCTGCTGTGATTCCTGCAGCGCCGTCGGCGGTCCCTGATATTGCGCCTACTGCCATGCCAGGGCAGGCGCTCACATCAAGGATATTAATGTGTATTATTCATGTTATATCATATTCTAACATATCATGTTATATATTACAACATATTTTTCAAAAATATTCTAGTGTACTATATACATTATATGATATGATATCAGGGTCCGGTGCTCTTTTCGGGTTTAGGATTCACAGGGGCTTGTTGAAAGTGTAGGGCGCTTCTGTGTAGGGTTGAGGGTGATTCTAAGGTGAGTTCAGGGTTGAGGGGGACTTTGTTTGGCGTTTAGGATTTTGGGGTATGTCAGTGGTACTTTTGAAAGCTTTCAGGAAGGGCGAAGAAAGCTCCAGAACGAAAGTCAAAAAAGGATATTGGCCGTAAAGCATAAGCGAAGTGGTTGGAGCATCCTCCAAGCATGTTTCCTGCTTTCGGTCAAGCTAGTCGTAAGAAGCTACCCTTCCTCGTTGTGTTCACCTTGCTTGTGCAGATACATTTTGAACAGCCCTTAACCCCTGTACCCAAATAATCCAAAACCCTAAACCCAAATAGTCCAAAATCTTAAGCCCTAAACCCAAATAATCCACATTTGCATCCTTAGAACTCCCATTAAACTGGGTTGCTGTTAACTAACGTAAACTAGATTGCCATGATATGGGTAAATCGTAAATATTAGGGTTCCCTTATCACAGTAACTTAATTGAAGTTCCTAAACAGCAACCCAGTAAATCAACGTCATGCGTAAATGGCTGGTCTGGGACTGGTTTATGTTGGAAACATCCTGGGGCCTTGTGAAGGATCCCGTCTAGGATTCCAGGGATGTGATACACTGGGGAGTGCATAGGGCATGCTTCAATCTCCCATGCCCTTTTGAGGCAGAGGATGCCGAAGGCCCCTGGAATAGCATCAAGGGGCTTGTTCAGGGTCCGAGCGGTCCATATGTAGGTTATTGGAGGGGTTCTGAGGTTTCATATTGGCCTGCGCGATGAAGCACCCCTCCCAGACTTTGCGACTTGACGTGAGCGCCACATCCGGCCTGAGAGTAGACTAACTTGTTTGAAGTCTTCAGTCACAGCAGATCCTGTCGAATAGGAGTTCGAAGCAGGCGGGAGCCCTTTTTTCAGACACCGCCTTGTAAGGTCACAAGGACTGGGCTACCACTGTGGACGGAATCATCCGCACCACCAACGAGGCCTGGATTGGTGGCAACGGAAAAATCGCTCCTAAGCGTTAATTTGAGCTTTAGTAGCGTCCTAAGCATGCAGGATGACAACAATTCAGGGAGCTTCTTGAATTCATGCATATTCGTGCGTCCCCGTTAGGCCGGTTAGGCAGCAACGAAACATTACGATCACCTGCGTTGGATGAGAAGAATTTCGATGACTTGTATCGTGGAGCACTGCTTTGAAGATGAGGCGTGGGGATTAGCCATGTTAGCAACATGAACATCCTTAATGATGTGGTAGCTTCCATGTTCTTTTCCACTCCCCTTGTATATTCCTTGGATAATATTGCTACTTTGGGCGTCTAGCCATGTTGGCAACAAGATCATGCACCGTCATGCGCCTTTATGGCCTGCACTGGGTTGGCCCGCCACGGTTCGTTTAGTTTTGGGCACGGGTTGGATCTCTTCGACCCACTGGTCTCTGTTTAGGGATTGGGGGCTTAGGGTGTTTAGGGTTTAGTGGCTTAGGGCGGGTGAATCAAAACCCAGCCATAGCATCAGATTTGCAAGAACAGCTACAACATCTGAAAGCAACCCCTCCATCTCCCATTTTCCGCTTACTTGTGGGAGGACTGCATGTCCACTGTGTCCCAGACCCGAGGACTTTGGATGCATAACCACAGAAAGCCATGAACTAAACCCAGCCCTGCCCCTGAAGCGTACTGGCGGGTAGTAGGGAATAAGGGAATATAGTCCCCATCTTATCCCTACGTCACATATTCCCTTATCCCCTACTAGCCCTAAACGCCTATTAAACCCTAAACCCCATAATATTCCCGGAGCCCTGAAGCATTCGCAGCTGAGGATGCCAGTATGAAGTGCGAGACTGCCAAGCGAGGCGACGAGTGTTGGACGGCAGTGACTTGGGATTCCCGGTGGCAAAAGGGTTTAGGTTTAGGATTTAGGGTTTGGGGTTTAGGATTTAGGGTTTAGGATTTAGGGTTTAGGGCAAGTCCTGAGACTTACGGGGGGGTTAGTAGGGAATAAGGGAATAGACTACACAGGGATTGTATTGGATTACATAGGGATAATGGAGATGGGGTTAGTCGAGGTCAGTAAAACACGTTCAGCTTCAAAACATGGAGGTCTGCTATTTTATTCACCAGTGTTGAAGCCTTACATCCAAAAAGATGCACGACCTCATGTGGGGTTTGCAGAATTAGAACATTTTTGCGGGCCTTTATCATACGGGTCACGGCAACTGAGGCAATGAACGATGGTATCTACGCACCTTGGCTGGCACCTAATGCGAAGCTCGATAGGGGTTCCCAAAATCTTTCTGAATGTTTAACAGTAGGAGAAATACTGGGATCATCTAGGGAAATTCCCGAATTCGGCCAGCCAGCTTTCAACAGGCCGCTTTGCCCCTGAAAGAAAGGCCATGAACACCCAAAACCCTAGACCTCCACAGATGCAAAGCAACCTTGGCAGTGTGGAATCACCAAACCTCGACTGCAGGACCGCTTGTTGTTATCAGCTACCGCCAGAACTGTACTGAACGGAAATTGTTACATGTAAGTTCACAATCCCCTGAAATGAGGTGCTCAATATTGGTCCCTACCCCAAACCAACCCTAACTGTAACCAACCCAAAGCCACTCGACCCGCTGAATCCCTAAACCCAAAACCCTCCCTGAGGAGCATCCAGAGTGGTGGACCGAACTTCAGCCCGGAGCTTCAAGCTTCGAAGAGTTCCAAGCGCATCAGCGCCCCCACAGGGTTTATGAGTTAAGGGTTTCATTGAGGGTGTAGGGTTTAGGGGATTGTGCGTCTAGGTGTGGGGTCTTCAGCAGCTTTGGTGTTCAGGGGTCCCTAGGATGGTAAGACATCAAGAGTTGCGGGAGTTCGGGCAAGAGGTTCAGGTAATTGCAGGTTCTTCGATTCAGGGCCTTCAGGTTTGGTCTAGCAGCTTTTGGCATGCATAGACCAACAGCCCCTTCATTGATAAGACAGTTGTGGGCATGTAAGGACTGGAGGCTAATATGGATGTGATTAGAGACTGTCACTTTTTTCGGAAGGATGCCAACCTTTAGTTTAGGGCCTTTCACATTCGAATGTAAGTTCATGGGTAGTTATAGATAGGAGGTGTACAAAGGGAAGCCAACAATTGTGGTACAGTGCAGGCATACCTGGGTGCTTGTGGCTTGCAGTCTTCCCATGAGCCTTCGAGTAGGTTTGTTAAAGGTGTTTGGAGTTCTGTTTTGTGTCGAGTTTGGTATTTAGTGCCCAAGTTATTGATTAAGTTGGCCTCGCTGTGTGATAGGATCATTTGCCCTTAGGGCACCAATCATACATGCCGAAATTTGCGATATATGCCTGCTCAGCTGTGCCGATGGAGTACTTTGCTGTTCTGACCTTGAAGCTTAAGCCCCGAAGCCTTAAAGTCTTAGACTCACCAGAACAGTACACTGAACTCCGGGTTGTCGGTAAAGGGGTCCGCGCGTGATCTGCCAGCTGGAATATGGGGGAGCCTGCAGACATGAAACCCCCAATCCTAAAACTCCGTGCCAAAAATTCTCAAGGTTTGCAGTAAAGGCCCCAAACCCCACACATCTCTGTATCTCACCCGAAAACCCTTAACCCTGAAAAATGCAACCCTCAAACCCCAACCCGTACACGCTAAAGCGGTGTCAATCTGTTTTTGAAGAGATGCCTGCAGCGACCTAAGGCATCTCATGAAGCCGGATTTGTGCCCACAGCCATGCATGGTCAGGCCAGGGCCTAGATAATTACGGATATTAGGGTTTGGGGCTTAGGATTGAGGATTTAGGGTGTAGGATGAAGGGTTTAGGATGTAGGATTTAGGTTCTAGGATTTAGGGCTTAGGGTTTTAGCGCTCAGGGTGGGTAGTAATGGAGAAGAAAATGCAAGCCATTACTTGGAAGAGAAGATGGAGACTACTGTTTGGGGTTTTTAGGGTTGGAGCAATAGTGGGAAAGAAGCGGAAATGATGGAAAAGAAAATGGAAGCTATCGTTTGGGATGTTGTGGTAATACTGAAAGACAACAGACGCTACTGTTTGGGGCTTAGGGTTCCCGATATAGTTAGGCCGCCGGTTGCAGTTTCACCGCAGCCTTTGCATGCATTGCGCGGATGGGAAGTGCTAACGGCAATGGGCCTGACTATTTTGACAGTTTAGTGGCAGGATGGGGCAGGAGCAGTGGCTGTGGCAGCGGTAGGTCTGGTGGTGCTGCTTGCAGGTACGACACGTACGAGGAGCCGACCTACCGCTCGTCGCGAGAGTATGCTATGAAGGGCGTTTCTTACGGGGCGCCTGAAGCTCAGAAGTTAAAAGGTAAGAGAAATAAGCGAGGTGTATCCTGTTGATTGTATTCGTAGCTACTCCTCCAAGTGTTCAACAGTCCTACGGGATCCCACGAAGCCCTGTTGGAAGGTCTCTTGACATCGCCAGGGAGGAACCGCCATTATTCCACGGTAGTCCCCAGGGCCCCATTCAGGTAGAGGTACCCCATGCGCTCTGCGCAGTGACTCAGGTACCAACAAGCATTCCTGAAAAGAATCCTTCGCAACCCTTACAAGGTCCCCTTTGAAGTCGAACAAGAAGCTCACTGATGATGACTTCATGACTGCCAGGGCCTTAAGGTTTAGGGTTCATGACCCAGATGTAACAGGGATAAGCCATGTTGCCAACCTTCCAGGGATTTGCCAGACTCCTTGGGAGTTATATCACGAAACTGTATATGCGCATTCTCTCAGAAAAGCTCACACCATAAATCCCAAAAAATGAAGTACCCAATCAAGGGTCATAGAGATTCCCTCCTTTGGAAACTCGCATTAAGGTCCGGGTAGGCTCCTCGTCGGCCCATAACAGCCCTCATGCAGTCAGTTTGGCATCTGCAGCCCCCAATGGAATCCCATGAGCACATTTCGGGTGCAAGTGTGCTTCCTGAAGTCGGCGAGAAGCCAGCCAAGTCTCTCCTGTCGCAGCCTCTATTGGAAACCGTCGGGGTATTCCATGTTGGCACTACAGGTAAGATGTTTTTTTCTTGGTTGCATTTTAGACATCATGACCATCCGTATCGTTTCGTAGCCATGCTCCATCGAAACTCGCAGCTTAAAATTCCACGAGCGTGCACCTACATCACGCGCCCCATGACCCACCAAGTGGCTTGGCGAAGACGTAATGTACTTCAATGGCAAACTGCAAACTCACGTTCGCGCAAACGTGGTCTTTCTTTCTGCTCTCTGATGTCTTGCAGCCACTGGGCCTGGAGGCCTCATATTGTGGAGCAGCTATCAGCTAGCCAATCCCACCATGTTCTGCCGGAAAACCAGGGATTTTCAAAATGACTTCATGAAACCCGGAGGACGGCCTCCTACAGCATTAGGATCCCTATTAATTATACACTCCGATAAACCCCCTTGCATCCCTTCGGGTTCAGGGGGTCTAGGGTTAGGCACGTGTCTGGATGAGTCGCTGCAGTCCAGATGCAAAAGGGTTCTCTTGACAAATCCCGCAACCTGGAAGCCGAGGACATCACCGGGGCGATGTGGGATTCTTGGGGTCGCGGGGATCTGGACGTTTTGGCGTCCATGGGCGTGAATACGCCGCTTGACGATGTTCCTGCTGTTCTTCACGGTAAGATGGGCTTGTGAGGATAGGGGTATCTGGATGTAACTCAGGGATTGCCCAGGCTCGCGGCATCCAGGGGCAGGCCAAACCCATGGGCTTGAACGTTTAGGTTATGGGCTCCGACCTCCAGAATGCAGTATTTGCCTTCAGAGCTTACAAGCACTAAACTTCGTTGCGAGTGGGGGAGCTGATAACTTTCCCTGCTACAAAGCACGCTCCCACGATTTTATTCAATCGTTTTACCGGGCTTCGGTTCTGCCCTCGAAAACCACGTGCTACAGTAGGTAGTCTCGTTAGGCGATTTGAAGTGCTTCGCCCGAGGCTGCGGATGTACGGAAACGACTTGCGCCTCTGCTGTTATTATGGTTGACGGATTGGGGTTACATTGGGATAATGGAAAATAACATGGAAACTACTTACGGTGAGGGCCTTGGGGGGGGTTCATCACCCTGCACCACGCCCATTCATTGGGGTTGTCAAGACGCCATGAGACGCACATCCCTTATCAGTATCAGGACGTCTTGGGTTGATAGTGATCGCAGCGTGTGGGTTAGCTTCACATACCTCGAGTGATCCCATTAATACGTGTTTTCCTAGGAATAAAATGGGGCCCTATGATCACATATCCTTCTATTCCGGGTGGCCCCTAATAGTTCATACTCCCATGAATATAGGCCAAGGCCATGCGCCGGGGGGTTATCTTCTTCATGTTCGAAGCGATACGAACGCCGAGCAGACTGCCTTAAGAGAGGGAATGGATCCCTACATGGCAGTCCCTGTAATATCCTCAACAAGATACAGTAAGATAGTTCATCTTGGACTCATGTTGCTCTGGCTTTCATCAGATGCTTGTCATAGTCTTCGCGGAGCGAAACTTGAAGCCTGCTGTCAGGAGAATAAGAAGTTTAGAGGTGAAGCTGCTATATGCTGATTACTTGTCGGGAGCTTTGGATGAAGCTGTTTTCGAAAGGTAACTAGTAATAATCGCCCTTGGCCATGGCTGTCGCCAGCCCCAGTCAATCCTGTCATGTGGAGTTGCTCGCTAATAGGCCGCATAAAACCTTTACCCTTCAGAAACCTGCACGCGCGCCTCAGGAACTACAGCCACCGCTCCTTCCTGGATGGTGCCTGGAAGCGAGACATCGACGTCATTGTGGGGCTCAGCGATTGGGGTCTCCCGGCAAAATTTCTTTTCAGTGCCCCAGGGCGTCGGAACAATCATGTAGACATTGTTTGTTCGCCTTCTGTTTCACACCTCCAGAGAATGCGCATTTGGCATTGCGAATAGCAGTCATTGTACTGATGGACTGAACGCCACGCCCTTGAGTTTTGAAGGTGGGGTAGAGCAGTATCAAACACATGTCAAGCAAGTTTGAAATTTTCCAGAATGCATCTGGACCAGAAAGCATTGACCTGTACCTTCAACGACATAGACTGCGCGCCATCCTTTCAATTCTTTGCGTGTTCATTGTCACCACCACCCTGCAAAACCATGAATGTCAATTAGTGGCAAACTGTAACTGCAAAGGAAGGGCTTCACCTTCAAGTAAAGAACCAGTCAGACAAGCTGAACACAGAACAATCTAATGACAACTACACAACTAATACCAGTCATCATAAGCGTCATATAAAGCACTCATAGTCCTAATAACAGTCTTGATCATGATAGAGGTAAGGTCTATGGCCCAAGTCCCAGGTTTCATCCAAGGGCCAGACCCCTGCGATCGGTGGCAAGCCCAGATTCGTCCGTGCTTTCATCGGCTTAGGGTTTAGGGTTTGATCATTGTAGCAAGCTCCCGCTTTTATACAGGCTTCGATGGAAGCAGATCGATTGGCAACAGAAAGGACAACAAAATATTTCTCATCTGACTGATAAGTGAGCGCGCGTGAGAGGAAGGCACACACGCAAGCACAAAGTACTGTTACAAGTAGAAACCACAACTCCTTGCAATTCTGTTTGGGTTTGTTGTCGTGAGAAGCAGTTTCAGATTCTGATGTGCTATAAGACTAGGAGCTGGGCTCATTCCTCGGAAGAACCCATGGCATCATGTTTGGTGAGCCGTGCCATGTGAGGGTGCTGCACACTCCGCACAGTTTTTTAAGCACGTGCACCAGAATTTGGGCCATCCCAAATTTGACAAATCACAAAACGATGACGGTTTAGGGTTTAGGGTGATTAGGTTAGAGAGTATGGTGGTGCTAACCACAAGACGACATTTGTTAGAACTCTTGAGGGGCGGCGTGCTTTCGCTTGCCTGCGTCGCCCATGGATCAAGACCAGGGGGCAATAGTGTGGTTTCAGGCAGGTTAGTATCCAATTTGGTGTGCGGACGGAGCCTAGTAACCACCAGAGCCAAAAGAACAAGCTACACATACCTAGTGCAAACAGCTACCTACTTGCGTCAGGAGAAAGTAAACAGCACTGTTCAGAAGAGTCTTGCTGCTTGCCAGTGGAAGCCATGATCCGCTACACAAAAGGGGCGTTCCAAACGCTCTTGTACTGGTGGGGCGGCATCAATCGACATCTGATTCTGAATTCCGTGGTCTACTTGATCTTCTTGGTTGCCTTATATTGGGCGCAGTACCACTGGCCTTTCATGAGGGTGGAGTCCTCCACAAGTGGGCTCTCCATGTTGGGCAGCCTCACTGTGTTCCTTCTGGTCTTCCGTATGAACCAGTCTCTTGGAAGTCTAAGGTATTGTCTTTTTTTTGCTGTGTCTGACGTAGAGAGCTGAAGCCGCTTAAGTCAAATGTCTCTTAGGTGGGGCTCTAGGATAATTGCTTATCTTTCCTTGTGTTTTTAGGGCACCTATCTTGGTTTTGGACCTTGAATGCACCCCCCAAGCTGGTCTCAAGATTCCACTCAAGATCATCTTAATTCGTTCTTGCGATTGTAAGGGGAGCTAGTCGAACTACATTTTAGGGAAGATCACAGCAGAGGGCTCAGTGAAGGTCCATGGCCCGGAACAACGAGGCCACGGAGAGAACCGATGAGATGTTTGGAGAGCTTGACTTTCTGATCCACTCTGTCTGCAGCTTCATGCAAGGTGCCTTGGACAGAACACTTGTGTTTGGTTTATGGTAGGGATTGAAAGTCCCATGAGCTGCTGTAAGAGTGCAAGTCGTGATGTCGGAAACATATGATATATCATGAATGTTCTGGAATATACTACTATATACCATAGTATCCTAAAATGAATTCTAATATAACCCAATATCCTATGATATAGCATAATATGCAATGATATACAAAAATTGAGATAGATCGATCACTTCTCGCGGCCTGAAGTCGTGTGGCAGGATGTGCCCGAATGATTTTCTTGCCGTGTGATTTCTTAAGCCAGCCTACTTTCCCCTCCTGTTCAGCAGTACTGGAAACGGACCCAGAACCTCGTGACCTATAAAAGCGCCAAGGAAACAGATTTCCAGGCTTTTAGGGTTTTGTGGCTTGGGGCGAAACTCTGTAGTCTCCTTGGGAATAATTTTACCATCTTGCTTAGACGATAACCATGAGGAGTTGTTTCTTTTAGGTTTAGGGGGATTACAGAACTCAGGTGCAAAAGAAGACCTTTTGCATGACCTGGTGCTGACCCCTGGGCGGGTGCGTTCCCTGGCCGAAATATTTAGGCTTCCGAGGCTTCTCCTCTATAATCCTAAACTAGGAAGGACACCTACAATCCTCCCCGCCCCAAAACAACTAATGGGTTGCAGCTTATAGGGCTCCATTTTGAGAGATGCTAAACCCTGGCATGAATCTGGGCTTCAGCAGCTTCAGCATGGGCTTCTCAGGCCTTTAGTGCCCTGCCTGGAGCACCAATCGTTCTCTTCGCTCTTTAACTAAGTAGAAGTCCACAACTCCTACAAATGCAGACGATTACGCGGGAAGAGGTAAGATGGTGACACGTGTATGTAGTAATATAATCATCTAATAATGTAGTAATATAGCAAAACGTCAGTATAGGAACAGAATATACTAGTATTTTCCTTGCTGGCTCTTAGTAGGGAATGAAAGAATAAATGAATCCCTGTACAAAAAAATCCTTTATTCCCTACTAAGCCCCAGTAAGTTTTTGAAGGCAGGAAGGGAGTTCTATAGGACTTGGTAGTAGGTTTAGGGTTTAGGGCGAAGCTGGATGTTGAGAACGAAGTCCGAGCCATGCCTCCCTAATATGTTAGTTTCCCAACATAATGGGTTTAGGGTTTAGGGCCCAGTTATAATCCTTATCATGGGGACTGCAAGAAAGGTAGCCCTGAATTTGGGAAACCCCATATGCTGCAGCTGCTCCTTTTCGCCAACTTCATGGGGATAGGCTCAGGGCTGTTTCAAGCAGATCTTCGCGAAAGAAATCCCTCATTCCTGATTCCTCTATCCTAAAGCTCTTGCCCTGACCACAAACCCCTGGTTCTTAGTAGGTCAATACAAGAATATAATCCATATATTACCCCTACAGAATATATTCCTTTATTCCCTTCTAAGAACCAGGAAGTAAAAGGTTTAGGGGTTTAGAGATTAGGGTAAACCCTAAACCCTAAGCGGTCTAGGGAAGCCAAAAGCGCCCAGGCTCGGAGGAGGAGATCCGCGTCATGAAGCTGCACGGCGAGCTCGCGAGTATGGTCAGAATCTTGGGCCTGAATTGTGATAGGAGCCAGAGTCTAAAGTCCCTAAAGGGGGGTTACATAGGGGATTTTTTCGGGGAGCATTATAGGGGTTATGAGGGGGATACTTTGAGTCTAGAATTAGAAATATAGCTCATATTGTTTTGGGTACCGTAGCCGCCCAAAATAACGTTATCTCTATGTATAGCTCCTAGTATGAAACCTAGTGCAAACTGTTACTGGGATCCAAGATGTCAAAATTCACACCATCTACAGCCGAGGCCTGCCTCAAACCCAGACCAACGCCCTGGTTAGGGTTTAGGGTTTCAACCCCCCAGGCCTAAAATCTGCAGCCGCGCGCCTTCGCGCACACCAAGACACCTACTCTAGGGATGTCGTGACCAGAATTTTGGTTTTGTATGCGCTAGAGATGCGTTTTGGGCGGTTTGCAGGGCAGATAGAGTAATCCGCAAACTCCAGGAATCCATGTGGTTCGGCTCACCATTGCCTTCGGCGTTAGCTGCCTTCTTTACTTCCGACGCTGGGCCTAGTTGTCGGAGGGTTAGGGTCAGAAGGTTGGTTGGTTGAGTTAAGGGCAAAGCGCTTAGGGGGCAGGATTCGAAATTCTAAGGCATCTGTAGGACTGCATATACGACTTCTATACAGGTGTTAAATAGGATTCTGTGGGAAAAATAGGGGCAACCTGGATGAGGACCTATTCCTTTTTAATTTTTGAATTGCATCTGAAACATGACCCTCTGGGTCGAAAAGAGGACTGTCACAGTGATCCATAAACTAGGAGGACCAAAAACCCAGCAGTAAGCCACCCTCCCCCCAAAGAAGCAGTGCTTCCATCGCACCAAGCAAGACTAATTGGGCGGAGGTTGCTCTGAATGTTGCGGGAAGGCCATCAGCAGATCAAAGTCGTTGCCCTCTCCCCCCAATTAACATGAACCCCCAGGAATCTCCCTTTAAAAGACAGGCCGCCCTTTTCAGGATCCTCCTAGAGCCTAACCCTAAACCATCCACCCTAGATCTGGACCATGGTATAGTCTGCTGTAAGTAGATAGAATATGGCTTTGGGTCTACTTAAGGGGGACCATAAGTCTATGGAGCCCAAGGTATCCTCGCCTCACTCGCAGACGCACAGGGTGTACTCGAAGAGGAGGACCTAGTGCAGATCGTTTTTCTGCATCCAAGCTTGGATTGAAAACCCCAAGGCGAGGGTCCTTCCATCCTAAGATGGCCCTTACAAGAAGGATCCTTGAAGAGAATTCCCTAATTTTGACTAATTCTCCAGGGTTCTGGATGTACGGGTTTAGCGTTGGGGTCTTAGCCAGGGTTTAGGGCATAGGGATTCAATAGTCCTATCCCAAGCAGTTGTGGATTGTTTTTGTAAGAAGGACCCTCTGAATGGGCTCTGAATCTGTTACGTGTCCAACTATCCCGGCCACAAAAGGAGGTAATTCTTACTTGCCCAAAATGCTACAATCCTTCGAACCCAAATTTCTGCCAACCTCGGTTCGGAGATTTCAGATTGGGCCGGGGGCTAGCTATTTTTGGCGCCTATCCTATAGCGTCATCATCCTGGGCTTAAATGTTGGTTGTAGAGTTTGCGATGTAGGACTCTGCCCTGGATGTATCACGATTATCGGATCTCAGAAAGGGGGTTGCTCTTCTCTTCAGGGAAGGGTGGCATAGATTTACGTTTCCACCGCCAGCAAGGATGAAAACTGTTTGAAACACATGCCCATTGAATGCGTGAAGGCATGCGCATCCACAAACCTGAGCCGGAGATTTTGCTCGTGTTTTGGAAGTTCAGGCCCTACGCCCCTGAACCCACTAAGTTTCCCGGGGGCTTGAATCCATCAACCCAACAACCCGACTTAAAGAATCCAGTGGTCCTGCAGCTGCCCACCCTAAACCCTCCCCCTGCTTTTCCGTGCCTTGCTAAAGCCCACTCAGGCATAGCCGTCTGCAGGCCTTGCTATATGAAGAGGAGATGGAGCTCGTGGACCAGTGCATAGGCTCTATTACCCTCCTGCGTTGGGGCTTAGGGCTTTAGGGTTGAGTGCTTTGAGTTGGGGGCTTGTAGTTTGTAGGGTTCGGCATAAGGGAATGGGGGCTTAGTTGCAGATTTGGGTGTGTGATGTCCAGCAAAGAGGGCCGGCATGGCGCTGGCAAGAGACTCGTGTAGAAGTGCCCCAGCAAGCCACCCTTTCTTCAGCAACTGCCATCTCACCCCAGCAGCAACAGTCACCTTAACTGCTGATCCGTGAATGCTTAACTATTGCAGCCAAAGCACCCAGTCCCAAGTCAGAACCCAGGTACATTGGCATCTCCAGAGAAAGCGCTGGCGGTGCTTTGACATCATTAGCGGGAGTTCCACAAACAAAGGGCCAGAGTATTCATTATTGGGACGAGAACTTGATTGACATCCCAACCTTAACTCTCCCTTCACCCCATGAAATTCGAGTTCATGGCTCTTGGAGGGCAGTCCTTACCTTGGCTTCGACACTGCTCTACATGCTCCGCGCTAAGCCCTCTCAAGCACTGAGCCCACAACCATTGTCCCTCCTCCACACCTTATGACCGTAGCATCCCATGAAGATCCTTCCGAAGACCCACAGCCCTCAATAGCATTGAGTCCTGATAACCACAGATAACCACATATGGAGCTCCAAAAAAGGCGCCCCTTCGGGGTGTAACTCTCATATGGACTCTGATTATTATATGGGCTGACTATAGTATATTGGGGTATGAAGAGGCGTCACCTTTTTGGGGCAACCTTCCCGTGACACGGAGAACTCCTGCAAAGACAGGAAAAAGTCTTTCACCCTGAGGCGATGCGGAGTATCGTGCTGAAACTGGCCGTTTCCGAATAGCGGCCCAGTGCGCAGGTTCCCGGACCCCTTTTTGAGTAATTCTTTTAGTTGGACTTCTAGAATGGGGTTGAGGGTTCAGGGTTGGTTGCATTGATAACAGCAGGGGGAGTGTGTAGCGGTCGCAGAGATGGGAGTAGGAGCTTCAAAAGGCGATGAATATCAGACCTCCTAAGCTTCAGGCGAAGCAGTACCCATGATGTAGGAAGAAACGGTGTGTGGACAGTAGATTAAACCGGGGGGAACAGGTACAACACTCATAGACTATAGACAGAACCCTAAACCCTTAAACCCTAAACCCTTTGTTGAAGCCCTGGCCAAGAACCAATCTTTCAACCGCAAACCGGCAACTCTCAAGCTAAGCTCTAAAAAAACGTAAGCCTTGGTGGAAATTCTAGTTGACTATAATTATGGTACAGAATTGTAGGAATTAGGGACCAAGCAGATATTAATCAAATTCAGCTGGATCTCCAGGTGTGCCCTTAAGAACGAGCTGTCTGCCCTCAACCCCAAAGGTGTAGCACTTAAAGTTTAGGGCTTAGGGTTTAGGGCTTAGGGCTCGGGGTTTAGGGCTAAGGGCTTAGGGTTCAGGGCTTAGGATTTGGATTTAGGCTCCCGACCAACTGCCGCCCCAAGGCTTGCTGATGCGGCCCAGGAAGGCAGGGAACAATGAGCCCTAGCTGCAGTATTTTGGGGTTTCTGCTGTGGATTTTAGGGTTGGAAAGGGTTGGTTATATTGGGGTTATATTGGGATAATGGAGAATAAAATGGAAACTAGTATAAGGGGTTATAGAGGGGTATAGGGTTTAGGGGCAAGGGTAGAGGTATTAGGGCTTAGGGTTTGCAAAGGTTTTTTGGTTGTTGAGGTAGATGTTCAGGGCATCCCAGATAGGTTGGCCCTCTTAAAACCACTGGGTTTCCTCATACGTGTAAGGTCCTTCTAGAGTCTCCGAGGATCACTATTGTAGGAATCTCCTCTGCAGGCATGCTGGATAACCAGAAATAAGGCGAGCATGGTAGCATAGCTTGACGAGGTTCATGGGCATGTTGCCGGTGGCACAAGCCCACGGCCAACTCCTCATTGACTCAAATCCGTAGCCTGAAGGCCTAGTAACTTCAGTGCTGAGATGGGGGTTTCCCAACATAAGGTGCATATTTTGGGGTCTAGTTTGGTGTCCCCCTATTTTAGGGAAATTACCAGATGTGCTAGGGCTTTCCAGCCTCAAGGCTGTGGCCTTTTGGACAAGCTCCCGTCTGGGCTTAGGAGCAGGAGGACTGCAACTTCGTGCCGCAGACCAGCGACATCATCCCTCCTCTCCCCAAGGTCGTTGGAATCAGACTAGATGTGCGGCATAAGCATAGTGATACTGATGGTAGTAGTGGTAGCAGTAGTAGTAATAGTCGTCGTCGTCGTCGTCGTCGTCGTCGTGGTCTTGGTCGTGGTCGTGGTCGTCGTCGCCTAGGGAAGCCTGCGCACCCGTGCATGCTACAAACACTTACACCCTTGCGCGCGCGACCTTGACGCTTCTTGTGCATGTGTGCTTGCAGCTGCGGCGGTGTGTATGAGGGTGTGGGCCGCAGCTGGATTCTGCTGCTGGATCACAAAAGGGGTTGCTTTTGTTTGCTGCTCTTCTTCCTTGTTGTTGAATTATGCAGCGGCCAAGGCGGGAGGTGCGTTCGCATCCTTTCGATTGCTCTGCCTCAGGCGTCCTTCCCCGCCCTAAGCCCCGCCTGCACCTTAGTAAGCCCCATGCTTCTCCCGTGTGCGCGGACACGTTGCCAGTGTCCTGTGCGTCTCTCCCTACCCTCCCGTGTGTGCCTTCATCTATTGCCTTGCGTGAGGTTGACTGTAGTGTAGGTTCCGGTTCGCTGAAGGAGCTGGAGTGTGCTGAGCGCCGCAAATGGGCCACTATTTGGCTTGGCTTCGCCAGGGCAGTGGCTGAGAACAGCGAGCTGAAGCTGTCACTCAGTGGAGCCAGCGACGCAGCCCTTCTCCCTCTGTTTCTGGACCGTGCTCCGTCCACACTGCAGCGCCACATAGGGGGCTGGCGCATTTGGCTAGGCTTTTGCGCGTCTCAGGGCCTGTCTGCAGGAGCGCCGTCCATGGCACATGTGCTTGACTTCACGGTCAGTCTAGTGGAGGGCTGCAAGGCGGACCGCGGGCAAGGGCGCCGCCGTTCTGCAGTCTCCTGCCTCAGTGCAATGTCCTTTGCTGCGTTCAAGTGTCAGTTGAGAGCCCTTTCTGAGTGCCTGGCCTCGCCCTTGATCAAAGCATGGCGTGAGCACGGGAAGTGGGCTCTGCCACCAGTGAAGGAGGCCACTCCGCTCCCTCTGCAAATTGTTCGGGGTTTAGAGCAGGCTCTGCTGGACTCTACGGAGTCCGACCAGTTCTTGATAGCCGCTATACTTTTCATGGTTTGGGGCGGTCTAAGGTTTAGTGATGCTCAGCGAGTGGATCTGCGCTCCATTGTCTGCGACAAACACACAGTGCGCGGCAAGTGTTGGAGAACTAAGTCAAGCCCAAGAGGAATGTACTGGGGTTTCTTCAGGCGTGGGTGCCTGAACCGTGAGTCTTTTTCAAGCTAGTGTGTGTTATCCGCGACCGCTTCCCCGAGCGTGACTACCTGCTTGCCGTCAATGGCTGCCCTATGAAGTACATCGTGTGCCTGTCCCAGTTGCGCCGTTGTCTCGCAGCCCACGCCGGCCTTGATAAATCTAGCTGTGCTCTGTTCACCCTCCATAGCCTCAAGACAACGCTCCTTGGCTGGAGCCACCAGCTTAATGTGCCCGAGGTTGACAGAGCAGCTCAGGGCCACCATCGCAGCCCTGGTGCCGGTGTTAGCCGTTGTGTGCCGCGCTATGGTAGGGATGATATTGAGCCTCAACTTAGATGCCAGCGTAGTTTGCTGCGTGCTCTGGATGAGGGCTGGGTGCCCCGAATCCCGCTGGCGCGGGGCTTGCACGAACTTAGGCTTGGCGCACCTGCAGTTAACGTTGGGTTTAGTCTAGGTCCTGCCCCCTTGCCCGCTGTCATCCCATCTATTGTTGAGGATGGTGAAGTTGTAGATAGTCACCCTGTTACTAGCAACCCAATCCGCCCATCATTGTCTCTGCCGAAGAATGACATTCTTCCTGTGGCGCCCTCGGACCTAGCCGAGTCTGGGGATGACACGGAGGCTGAGAGTGAGTCAGACGAGTCTTGCTTCCCCAGCGACGCGGAGTCTGTTGCTTCTGCGGACTCTTTGGCTGATCTGCCGCGAGACCTGCCTGTTGGCCCCTGGCTCTTGAACATCCGTTCGGGAGTGTTTCATAAGACCATCAGCAAAAGCAAGGGCTCTTATGCTATGGCGTGCCGCCCACAGGTTGCCATGCATGATGGGTTGGAGCTCCGTAAGACTAACCCTCGTTTCGAGGGGTTCTCTGCCTGCCGGCACAGTGGTTGCTGCCATGGAGTCTAGTTAGAGGTCTCAACAGCCTCAGTTTGTGCAGAGCTCGCGAGGGCCTGACAATGTTGTGATGCGTGTGCTGCGTGCCGCGTGTTACGTGTTTGAGTGAAGCTTTTGCTTTTGAGGCGGGGCATGTCTCTCTCTTACGTTTATCGTGATGCTTTTAAAGTTGTTTGAGGCGGGATTAATTGTTGTTAAGCGCATGCCGTGATTCTTGTGCATCCTGATTGTTGGATGTCTGACTGGCCGTGCGCAAGTCACTCCTTACTTGTTGCGTCCTGATTGATGGATGTGAACATGCCGTGCGCATGTCTTGCTGTTTGTCTTTGAGGCTGGGACTTAATTGTTGCTTACGTTTTCTGATTGACCTCTGTGCGCAGTTCAGGCGGGCTTAATTGTTGCTTAAGTTCTGTGATTATTCTTTTCGGGGCATCCTGATTGATGGATGCTTGACGGGCCGTGAGCTCGTACTTGACGCATCCTGATTGTTGGATGCGAACATGCCGTGCGCATGTCTTGCTGTTTAGTCTTGAGGCTGGGACTTAATTGTTGATTACGTCATTGAGTGACCTCTGTGCGCAGTTCAGGCGGGCTTAATTGTTGCTTAAGTTCTGTGTTTATTCTTTTCGGGGCATCCTGGTTGATGGATGCTTGACGGGCCGTGAGCTTGTCCTTGTTGCTTGTTTGTTCCCTGTGCGGGGCACCAATTGTGGGCCGTGGGCCCCCTTGTGTGTTTTTTCTTTGACTTGGGCCTTGAACTGGCTTAAGTGTGTGTATTGCGATCGTGCGCCTCAGCTGTTGTGCTGGGCTGCGTTGTTACCTGATTGCTGCCCGTTACTTCTTCTCTGCTTGCGCATCATGGCTGTGCCCGCGTCCATTGCGAAACAATGTGCTGACGTCGGCCTGCCTGAGTGTGTTGCATCCCGCCTTGCAGCCATGGGCTACGACTCAACAGACACATTTCACAGCAGCTTTGTGGACGCAGCGGCTTTTGAAGCATGGCTGTGCCGTTCACGCGTCAGGCTTGGGGACACTGCCTCGGCTGTCGAGGAGGCGGACTGGACAACCCATCCCTTGGCGGGAAAGCTTCGTCGTTTGTGGCGCCTGTGTCAGCCTGAGCCTGTGCGCCCCACCCTTCCCGTCATGCCTCAGCCTTCACCTGTGTGCAATGCCCTGGCTCTTTTGGGTGATGTCGGGGCTCCGGGCCCCTCCCAGCGCCTAGATGTCGCGGAGCGTGAACGTCTTGTAAAAAGCTTCGAGAAGCGTTTCCCTAACGTCGCCTTGAGTCCCAGCACCCTTCCATCCCTCAGCCTGCTGCAGAGTGTGCATACGCAGTGCAAGACCAAGTCGTGGTCATGGATTCCTTGGCGGCGCATCCTGTCTGAGGAAGCTGCCTTGGACGTCCAGTCCCGCAGGGCGACGCGCAAGCAGGACATGGCCGAAATCGTCGCTGAGGCTGCCGGGTTGTGCAGCGACGAATGGGACCTTGACCTCTCTGCTTCGCCTCTCAGGGTCCAAACAATCCTGACAGTTCGGGCGCACGCGTATGCCATGGCGGAGGGTGGCCATTTACACTCATGGATGGCCTACGTTAATAAACTCATGCAGTACTACACGAGGCGCCCAGGTGTTGGTTTGCGTGCACCTTCTCCGGCTGAGGCCGAGGAGGCCGATAAGGAGATCTTGTGTGAGGTCTTTCGCATGGTGTATCATGACGGGGTTTCAATGGATGACGCTCTGCAGTCCATTGTTCGCGAGGACCTATTCCGCGTGAAGTTGATGCCCGTGCTGAAAGTCCCTCCTCCTCCCGCACTGGACCCCAGCCTCAAGCCTCCAGGCGGAAGGCGCCCCACAGGGGGAAAGGAGCAGGCGGAGCCTCGCAAGAGGTACAAGAAAGGGAACTGCTTCGGGTTTCAGGAAGGCAAGTGCCTGAAATCAGCCAAGGACTGCAAATTTTGGCACAACTGTGACTTGTGCGGCTCTGCCGACCATGGAGCCGCCGAATGCAAAGCCTGAGACATACCTGAGCCTGACGCGGCAGCCGATAGCTTATTGATTGGTGCACCTGCCGACATTATGTCTGCGTTTTGTGACCTTGAACAGTTATCATCTTGCCATCAGCGTGCAGTTTCTATGCCCAAACCCGTGAGTGGCACGTTTCAGAGTCACCGCAGTGATTTTTTGTTGTCCTCTAGTAAGACTCCCTGCCCTTCTGCAACTGCAGTTGCAAGCAATCGGAGTGCTCTTGACCCTGGCCCTAACCCTACTCTGTCGCCCTCTGTTGGTTGTGGGTCCCAAACCTCAGCGCATGTCAAGCACAATTGCCGCACTTGTCCCCCTAAGCCGCTTGCTGTTTCTGATAAGAATAGTCCCTGGCACTTGCCTATTGCCGACGGCGGTGGATGCAGCTCTTCAGCCGACTGGCTCGTGCCACGTTCGGCGAGTGACATGTACAGCCCGCTCCGTACTAGGTTCATATCCTTGTGTGCAGAGTGGGACTTGGTAGCCCGTCTTCAAGCCCACTGCCGGGCCAGTTCCCCTGATTCGCTTCTCTCTACAGCTGAGCTTTCCGCAGTCCGTAATGAGCTTGTGTCATTCCTGCGTTGCGCAGCCTTGCCTAGATCCTTGCGTGTTGAGCCCAGACAGCCCTTCCTACTTGATCGCTGGGACGGGCTTTGCAGTCTGTCGCAAGACCCAGACCCTGCTCTTCCTGGCATCTTACGAAGTGGTGTGCCTACGGGGGTTCTCGAACCCATTGCTGCCTCAGGCGTGTGGCAGCCACTTGGAGAGCCAGTCGAATTTGACGCAGACCTCTCAAGGCTATCCATCCACACTTCCCCATGGAAGAGTGGCCTGGAGGACGAGGATCTGACTCTCTCGCTGATGCTAAAAGATGTTGCCGACGGTTTCGCCTTCGAGCTGCCTCAGAGTGAAGCTGAGGCGAAAAGGCGTTGGGGCCACGCAGTGGCTGCCGGCAAGCTCGGCATTTCTCAACCGCCTGGCAAAAAACCCAGGCTCATTGGCGATGGCTCCGTGTCAGGCGCCAATGCCGCCTGCTGGATCTCAGAAAAAGTTCGTCTTCCCACGCTTGAGAGTGTGCAGCGCTTTCTTTCCAATTCCTCAAGCGACCAGCGCTGGTGTGCCTTCTCCTTCGACGTGCGTGGAGCTCACAAGCTTATTAGGGTCCGCGAGCCTGAGCAGGGCCTGTCCTGCTTTGTTGTTAAGGGTCGTTGGTTTGCCTATAGCAGCTGCTATTTCGGCTGCCGTTGGGCTGCCTATTGGTTTAGCAGGGCTGGTGGGTTTACAGTGCGCCAGCTCCATCTTTTTCTTTGGGTGTGCCACGGGCTCTTCCTGTATGTGGATGACGGACTCAGCCTCTTCCCTGTTGAGCGAGCGCCCTTGCTGGCCGCTCTTTGCGTCATGTTTCTCTGTGCCTTGGGAATTCCATTGAGCTGGGAGAAACTAGCTTTCGGTGAGACTCTTGGCTGGATCGGGTGGGACTTGTG